TGAATGTTGAGAAAATTTAAGGGTACCTTGTAATATTTCACGGTTTAAGTGTGTTAAAATACTTACAGCTTCCCCAAAACACTCACTCTTTCAGATTGTGTGCGCCTGAACAAACCACTGCCTCCTTGCCTCCTTAAGACATGTATTTGTGGTGCTGGCATGTTTGTATATGGTAGCTAACTCATCATTCAGAAGTTTGATGAAATCCAGAAGTCACCATTCTACCCCTCCTCACACTGAGCTCCACGCCTGTGAAGCATCTTTTAAGCTCTGAAGCTCTGGTCCTCCTGTTTCCCCCAGGATGTTCTAATATGCTCATAGTGTCATTTCCATGTTTAACAGCTTTAGAGAACATTTACCCTTTTGGGAAAGATGGGAATTATTCATGGCCATACGCCTTTCTCCTCCAGCTCCGAAAGGCAGCTCTGAGATGGTCACCTGCTGCTCCTCCTTCTGGCGCCCCTCTAAATTCTTTGTCCTGTTCCACTGACGCTAGTCAGGGCCTCGAGTTCTGTGTGCGAGGGGAAGATACCAGAGCTTCTGCAGCGCCCTCTTCCTCCTTCCCTACCCAGACTAACTTCTGCCTTCTGCCGGCCACACCTTTTAGTTCCAAGGTTATTACTACCAACTTTCCATTCTATACACATAACCAGGGTTTTGGCACTTTGCTCGTAGGTCAACTCAGAGCAGAAAAATATTGAATGGCGTTTACCTGAGTAGATGTGGAGTTCACAGATTTGAGGACGAAGTGAGACAATGTACAAGGGCTCCCTGGTCCCTTCTGTGTGCTTGGTCAGTGGAAGCTCTGAGCGGATATGATCCAGCTATAGACTGTTCCTGAAAAAGTTGGTGCTGAAGCAAACGCAGGGTGTTAGCTGTCCTCATCCATCACCAGGGGAGAGCAGTGATGCTTAACGCTCTGATGTTAAGACTTACCTTCGCCTGCTGCATCTTCCTCGTTCCCTGAACCGTGTATCAGTTGGGGTATGTGTGATGAGATGGAGAAAATGGTGTTCTCGCGCCGGCTGGTCCTGGAATGAAACTCAGCACATCGGCTCAACTGGAAGACACGTAACCGTTCTTTTCATACAAGTCAACATCGGTTTTAAGCACCTATTATCCAAAACGGCAGAAAAACATAATCTTAGTCGATTGATGGATTTCTCCGTATTTATGTGAGATTGTATCTTAGTTACAGGATATTTTCAGAGTATGACGGGGCATGTGTGTCCATCCTTTCCTCTTTGCCAGTCACTGTAGAAGAGGGAAAAAGAGCTCCAGAGAGTCTGGACAACTGATAATGAAATCACCCCATTCTGACACAGCAGATGTCATTTCCAGTCACAGTCCACTGGCCAGAAGTCATTATGTGGCTCTTGTACTGGCCACAGAGGGCAGGATATACCTCACAGGTGGAGACCTGGAAATAGTTGGTGACCAACTCCAGGGGCCACCATGCTGTCCTGACCTGCATCAGAATCTTGCTGGGTTGTTGTGGAAAAAGCATGCATGTTCTGGGGCCGTCCCCACCCCGCCGAACCTTGTGAATCAGGCTCTCTTGTGGTGAATCCAGGAACTGGCAAACTTGATGAGCTATTCTGGCTGTTTTGATGGAGGCTGTGATTTAAGAGCCTTCGCTAAAGGCACTGAGCAAACACTGATAACAGAAATGGAGGAACATATTCGTAAGACCCCACTGGGAATCCAGCTGACACAATGGACCAAACCACAGATGCTGAAGCTGAAGTCAGAATCCCAGCGATAGCGGAAAGTGGGGCATGAGAGGATGGCGGTGTCCCCGGGATGCACCCCATCAAGTGAGGGTCCTTGGCTTAGCGCAGGGAAGAATTCAAGAGCCAGCCATGGCACACTGAAAGCAAGTTTATTTAGTGAGATACACATTCCAGAGGCGGAGTGGGGGCTGCCTTGGAAGGCAAGAGAGAGAGGCCATAAGGTGTGGGGGTGTTTAGCTTAAAGTAAAAGTAGATGCACACTCCATAGACAGAGTGAGGGCCGTCTCCAAAGGCAAGAGAAAGGCCACGAAGTGCGAGGTTGTTAGTTTTTATGGGCTCGGTAACCTCATATGCTAGCAAGTGGCAGGGTTATTCCGGCTACTTTGGGGAAGGGGCTGGGAGTCCCAGAAACTGGGTCATCACCCACTTTTTGACTTTTTAATGGTCTGACTGGGAACTGTCCTGACCCCTATGGGAGGACCATTGCGCAGCTGCTGTATTTCAATGGGCGTGTATTGAAGTTCAAGGTCCACTGGGAGCTGAGTCCTGTGCCATCTTGGTGCTAATGGCTGTGTCATTCTTTTCATGGCTGTGCCCTGCCGCCTCCCCTCCTGTCTCACGAAGAATCCAGAGGAAGAGTGACAAGGAGGCTTCAGGTGGCCCAGAGCTCCTGGGTCTCTTCACCTCGCCTCGGGCCACTCCTATGGAATGAGGTACGTGCCCAGCAAGCTCGCACCGGACCGACGGCGCCCTCCCCGTCATTACAGCTCGGCTCCGATGTGCACGCCTTCCGTCCGCACAGCACGGCGCTGGGTGCATTTGTGAGCGTCAGCAAGCCGGGCTTCGCCTTGAGAAATTGTCCCCAACTCCCATTATTGAATATTTACTTTACTTTCACACCGTGTATTTGCCTGCATGGAAGTTAATTGTTTTTGCTCTGAATTATTGCGATTTAAAAACTCAGTGGGAACGCAGCCTTTTGCCTTTGTGGCTTTCCAAGGTGAAAGTAATTGGAGGCAACTCTTGCGGATATAAAGCTTGCACGTTACGGTAGATTAATATTTAGGGGACAGGCCTGTGTGACAAAAAGGGAGCATCGGCTGAAGAAAACATTGTTTCTTATTTTGACTTAATGGAATTTGTAAGACGAATGGTTTCATGACCCAGCATAAAGCTTGAGTGATGGCTTCCTGATAAGCTGAAGAATGGGTGGACAAGGACTGTCCGGGGTTTAAGTAATTGGCTTTGGTCTTGCTGCAGTAACTTAGATTATTTTTGGTAAACATCGTCATTTCTTCCAACTTTTTAAAGTTTGTGTATTAATACAGGTAAAATTATACACAATAAAATAGCTCCTGTTTTACTTAAAAATGAGATATGAAAGGGACAAAACAGGAAGACCTGGGGTCCAAGGGCTCTCATATCTCTATGAAAGAGAACAGGATGGGAAATATCTCAAATTGTAACCAAACGGGACCCTACAGGGTCTTCCCAGGACTCCCACCCCCATGTCCTCTGCTGTAGCACCCAGATCACAGTATGACGCACACTGCCTGAGTTGTCTGACAGATGCTAAACCCCCTCCCAGTGGAAGGTGTTAATGCCATGATGACCTTGAGCACGTAGCCCCCAGACCACCTGGAGCCTGAGAATTGATAACGTTAACCCCTGTGACATCACCCTGTTACCTCACCATCAACCAGTTAGAGAACTGTGCATGATCTGATCACATACCCTGCGACGCCTCCCTCACCTGGCCTTTAAAAATGCTTCACTGAAACCCATCAGGGAGTCCAGGTCTTTTGAGCACCAGGTGCCCATTCTCCTTGTCCTGTGCCTTAAAATAAATGCTGCACTTTCCTCCCCCACCACCCAGTGTCAGTAGATTGGTTTTCCTGCACGTGGGCGCATGGAGCCACGGATGGTTGAGTAACTGTCACTGTGGAGCTGCCCTCCCCTCCCCTCCCCCAGGCCAGAGGGTTAAGGGCAGGGAGAGGTTAGGAGAGGAAAGGAGGAGACCTTCTTGAGAGGGGCAGGGAGCTCTGATGTGGGACACGGCCAGCCTGAGGGACCTCTGCAGCCCAGAAGCCAGAGGAAGGGGTGTCAGGACGTCTCTCTGCTTCCCTCCCTTCTCCAGCCAAGGTCCTCCTTGACCAAACCCCATGGAAAACCAAAGGAATGGGACTCATTCGTGAAATCCTTAGGTCTGTGTGCTGGCACACAGAGCAGGCTGGAGAACGGTCTTCTGGAGAGGCAATTAAAGAAACAAAACAAAGAAAGCTGTAGTTAGTCTCAAAAAAGCAATTATAAGTTCTCTTAGCAAAACTTTGTGAATATTGGACCTGTTCTGCTCTCATATGTTTTCCTACCTTTGTTATTCAGTCCACTTAAGTACGTGTTTTAAAACTTTGAAAAATCTAATTGTAAAGATGCTGATAAATGAAACCCAAAGACATGATCACGAGAGAGAAAGAGAGAACAGAGTTACCAGGATTAATGAGCGCAGGCTTCTGTTTTCTTGGCAAAGTAAAATCTTTCAATTAATCTTCATTTGAACTATTATCCGGTACGTGCTATGGGCAGAGAAGGTGGCGACTGTATCACTGAACACAGAGCGCAGCACAAATACTTCCTAAATACTGAACTGTACATTTTTTCTTACAAAAGAGACTCTGGCTTGTTTTTCAAAAAATAATTATACTTGCTAATGTTATCTTTACATTTTTCAGAAGCCAATTTTCTCTTAATTTCTTCCATAATCTCATATACCACAATATTCACAAAAGTAGAGTCTCCAGCTGCCGATAGTGGTATGGGGTTGGCAGCATGGATCCCTGTGTGCCCAGTAACACCAGCGAAGAGACAGAGACTTACTGGGCAGAGAAGGGACTTTCAGGAAACAAGAACAGTGTAGACCAGGGCTGTCCAACAGAACCATCCGTGACAACGTCTGTATGTACATTATCCAACTTGGCAGCCACTAGCCCCACATGGCAACGGAGCACTTGAACGGTGGCGAGTGTAACCAGGGAACTGAAGTTTTAATATTATTGAATTTTAGTTTAGCTAGCCCCAGGTGGCTAGTTAGAGCAACCTGCGGGCCCCAGTTACCTGGGATGCAGGGGCGGAAGAGAGAATCTCAGGGGAAGCCACGTGGGCCAGATGACGACGTGGACCATATAACCAAGAGTCCATACACGCTTCCCTGAATTCTGAAACACCTCTTAGAAAAAGCAGGGGAGACCCATGTCAATGATGATGATGAGGGAGGGTGTAGCTCAGTGGTAGAGTGCATGCCTCACATGCACGAAGTCCTGGGTTCAGTCCCCAGCACCTCCATTAAAATAAATAAATAAACCTAATTACCTCCCCACCCAAAAAACAAGAAATAAAAATAAGAAAACCCCCAAAACAAGAGCAAAAAAAACCCAACAACAAAAAAACAAAAACAAAAACAAAAACAAAAATAGCGATGGAGAACAATAAAGACCGTGTTTTGCAGTCTTGCAAATGCTTTGTGTACATGGGTTCATGTAATCCAATTGACCCGTGCTGTGGGTCCTGCTGCAGTGCCCAGGGTCACAGATGAGGAAGCAAGGATCTTGCCTGAGGACATCCAAACGGATGAAGGTAGAATGGAGGCTCAGAGCAGAAACTGGAATTACATAAGAACAGTTTTACATCTTGACCCCCTGAATTTGTGGCCTGTGGTTTGTTCTGGCCGCACGATGACCAGTTTCTCTATTCCTGCACGTCCTGTGGGGATGCTCAGACACCAGAAGCACCACTGGGTCGTTCCCCATCCATCAGTCTTCCTGGTTTTGTAGATGGTCCCCACATTGTGAAGGACTTCGTCTAAAGCAAAACGGACCCCTTCTGAAAGGCAAGAAGATGGCAGAGAGCTTAGCATCGGGCACCAGCCCGCGGAGGGCTGGGCCCTCTGCTGGTGCTGAGAGGAGATGCCCGCTGCTCTTGAACTCCTCCAGCCTCCGCGTGACAAGGGTCCGAGGGAGGAGACATTGGCCTGCCTTGGATCGGGGTCCAAGCTTTGCAGTCTTGAACACGTGGGCACCTCTGAGCCTTTGTTTCCTTCCCTGTGAAATGGGGATCATTGAGGAACTTGCCTTTGAGGATTATCATGAGGATGAACTGAGAGCATTTCCAGAAACGTTTATACAAGCTAGTTGCTATCTTACTGAAATAAGGCAGCTTGCATTCTCTGCTGAAATTTCACTGCCAAGCTGATGTCCGCGCCGCCCAGGAATCGACATCCCCTGACGTTTAGCTTTCCTCTGGTTCTGAGTTGGAAGGAGGTGCAAAAACAGGGACACTGTTGACCAAAGCTCCAGACGTTCTCAGCTGGTTGCTGTGGTGGAGGTGGCGGTTTGGCTCCCTGTCCAGGTTCCTGCAAAGACCGGGGCTCGGAGTTCTAGAGTCATCCACAGTCTGCTCATTTTCTGTGTGTCTATTCAGTGTCTCAGCGTGTAACACCCATGCGCCTCTGTTTTCTCCGCCCTACAGTGGGAAAAGTCAAATTCCCCTCTGAAAATTCAGTGCCTGGCGTAGAGTAGGTGCCCTGTATATGAGTTTTGCTTTGTCCCCTTCCAAAGCGTGCCCTGTCTGCACTGGGGGGTCCTAGGTTGACTGATTACTCTTCACGACCAGATGACTCCAGTCCGCCCCCATGGGCTCTTGACCTGAAAGCTTCAAATTGTCCAGACAAATGGCTACCTGCCTCCCATAAACTTGCCTTGGACGGTGTAGCCAAGAAGCCAGTGTGGAGCTGTCTCCTGGATGCTCATAGTGAGGAAGATGGGCCAGTTCAAATGAGCGAGTCACCAGGGACTGGTGGGCAATGACAGCAGGAGTCCAGTGACTCTGGATTCCTGTGCCTTGGGCAGAGCCATACTCCATGGATCCACCTAACTGGGGCCAGGCCTGCTGGAGTTGCCAGAGATTAGGTTCTTGTCTTGTTGCAGAAAGAATTCCGAGACGAGATACAGAGGTTAAGAAAACAAAGTGAGGATATGTTGAGTGATGCTCTCCGGGGCATGCGGGCAGACTCAGGTGAGCAGCTGTGCTGAGCTTCTTCGGCAAGCTGGTTACATAGAGCATGCAAATGAATGAGTGGGATGTTCACTGGGGAGGGAAGGGTTTGGGGTCATATTCCCTGATTTCCATCCCGGCTCCCTCTCAGAATACCCAACTAATAATGGCTTAAACTCAGAGGTGTGGAGGGAGCAGGGTGAGGGGGCTCAGAAGCTCTGTAATAGCACAGCAGTGGCTCCCCAGACCGTGATCTCCTGACTTTCTTCTCTGGGCGATAAAGAACTGTGTAGCTCCAAGCATCCCAGGAAGGCTGGAGTGGATCAAGCAGAGAAGAATGCTTCTATCCACAGTCTTCTCAGATGCCTCCAACCGATTTCATATTTACCTGCTCCATGACCGAGGACAGGCAGAGAGAAAGAGGGTCACCAGGACTGGTCTAGACCCCTGATTCCTCTTTGCAACTTTGGGGGTCACCTACTTCCATGGGTATGTGGCTGCCCTTGGGAGTAAAACTGGAGTTTTATTAGCAGGGATGAAGCCATTGGTATGACCTCCTTCACAAACATGGGAAACATTTGAAATCCTTTCTTCTGCTTGGGTAATTCTTTACCTGCAAAATCTTGATGTGAGTTGCAGATTGTCAGTTGCCATAAAAACTGAAAATGCCAGCGACTTGCTTTCTTAGACTCCTCTGCAGCTAGAATACAGACCTCAGTGCCCATTGACAGGTAAATGGATAAAGAAGTTGTGAGACACACACACACACACGCGTGCG